CCAGGATGATCTCGATCTCCTGACTTCGTGATCTGCCTGCCTCGGCCTCTCAAAGTGCTGGGAATACAGGTGTGAGCCACCGTGTCCGGCCTCATCTGTTATTATTCAAGGTATTTAGTGCATCACTGCGCACATGATCTTTGCTCTTGCCCTTATTTTGTTATACCTGTACTTGAAGAGAGACATTCCGACTGGCATTAAATCAACGTTTTGTATGATGGACACTTACATATGGCTCAGAATGCATTTTTGTCTGCTAAATAGAAATAATCTTCTCTTCTGTGTGACAAATAATACAGCTAAAAAGTCTCAGAATTAATCAAACTTATCATCAATTAATTTCACATTTTTGACTGGCTTCCTTAAGTATTTAAATTATTATGATTTGCTAAATAACCTTGAAAGTCATTCAGTCAAAATGGCTTTGAAATAAAATCATAATATGTTAAAGTAAGAAATTATATCCTACATAATGAGGACAATAGAGACATTAAAATAGTCTCATCAAGTATTTGCCTTTAGTTAGTAGTAGTTTCTCCAAGAAAGTATTAACTTCAATTTTGAACAAAGTTTTCTTTCTCTTTTTTGGCAGTATCAGCCTTTTGCCAAGCTGAACACAAGGGGATTAAAAGAAAATCTGGGCTCGAATGTGCAATTTCATATTTTATGTTAGGGCAATTTACAACATATCATAAAGCTGCATTAATAAACAGATGTTCCACAGTCTGCAGAATGTAAAATAAATGTCTTGAATAAGCTATGAAGACCAAGGCACTTTTTGGAGCAGATTTTTTCGTCTTAAAGTTTTATCTCATGCAAACATTGCATATAACATGAACTTATATAACCAATGCTTTCAGCAACATGTCATAGTAGAACCAAGGCCCAGTTGTTAGCTGAAATCTACATAAATATATGTATGTAGAATAGTTAGGAAATATAAATATTAGCATATGCTCTTTATTGTCGATGATATCAATAATTCTTACATGAACTCAGAAAAGTTTTTTTCTTTTTATATTCAAAATGAAGTTTTCTAATTACTGTCTTTGACACAAGGTTCTCCCTGTCTGCAAATTATACCCATTACAGCTATCTCTTTGAGGTAAATATCTCTCCTTCAAGTCAATCTTAGCTTCTCCAACACGTAGACAATGGCTGGCACATGTAAAGCCATTCAGAATACAAGTAAATGCATGCATAAAATGAACACATATATTTACAAGATATTTATAGACATGTCATAGGAATGTGGGGGCCAAGAAGACGGATTCTAGCTTTTGGGTAGATACAATCGCAGATTATAACGGCAACTTACATGGTGCCTAAAATATCAAGTTACTGTTCTAAATGTGTTAGATCTGTTGGTTCATATAGTGCTTGCAAAAGCCCTTGAAATAATACTTTTATTACAATTACCATTATATAAATAGAGAAACTAAGGCAGGGAGAGGTTACGTTGTTCCAGGTTCACGTGATAATTCAATGGCAGAGCTTGGTTCAAATTTCATACTGTTAACTTACATACAATTCTGCCTACCATCGAGGCATTCTTCTTGTTGAATGGAATAAGGCCCTCAAAGGGAATTTATGGAGTACTGTTACACAGAAATAACTCTGAATATAAGTAAGTCTTCTGTGGAATGACTTCATCTTATATTCTCAGAGAATGATACATTTTATGTCAAATAACTACAGAAGAAAGAAAATGATTTTATAAATGTTACTAACACTATACCTAGCAAATGGAAGACATATGATAAACTTACACATTCTAATTTGAAATTTATGAAAGTGATACACAAAACAGTGTTTGGAGTAGACTCTACCTCTTATTTTTGTGAGGCCAAAATACCTAATTTATTTTATGAAGTAAATGCTTAGGAATTATTTTATTTGTTGTTGTAAGGAATTTTGCCTACTGAAATGGACAAAGCATTGTGATTAGTGTTGGGTCTTTTGGCTGAGACTAACCTAAAGGGAACAAAGAGGAAAAACCAGATGGTGAAACTGAGGTTCCTCCATCCTCTGACGGCTTGACTACCATTGTATTTTAGTAAATCCTTAAATCATATACTATGATTATGACGACTTAATCTTTTTTTGTAATTGATGATGGAGTTGATAAGTTTTTGTTTACCCTTGCGTGTTGGATCAGGAGAGATTCAGGACAGACATTAGGAAGAATTTTCTAGCTGGGGTGTTGTTAATCAGTGTCCCACAGTAAAAAAGCTGGCAGAGCAGCCTTTTTTGATGAGAATTAAGGCAGTAAGACAATGAATAGTCTAACCCAGTAATAGCTGAATTGACCATTGACCACTTACCCTTCAAGACTTCTCAGAAGCCTCCTCAGCACATGAACTTGAGCTTTTACATAATTTTCTCATTCGTAGTGATTGCATTGTTCTTGTAATCTCATGTCCTATTATTTAAGGTATTCAGTGCATCACTGCATACATGAGCTTAGGTCTTGCCATTATTTTGTATTCCCTGTACTGGAAGAAGAGAGACATTCTGACTGGCATTAACTCAACATTTTGTGCGAGAAACTATTACATATGGATCAAAATGCAGTTTTGTCTGCTATATAGAAATGATCTGTAACTCTGTGTGATAAACAATACTGCTAAAAAATCTCAGAATTAATCAAACTTACCATCAATTAATTTCAAATGTTCACTAATTATTAGTGAGAAAGGAGTGTTGAATTATCCAATCATAATTGTACATTTGTTGATTTCTCCTTTTACTTCAATTAATGTTTGCCTTTTGCCCAATTTGGGTAATTTTTCCTGCTAGGTTTTCAAAATTTTTTCAGCACTGTGCTCCTTTTGCTCTTCTCCTTCTGAGACTCAGATGACATGTATGTTGGAACTTTAGTTATTGTTCCTCAGGTCTCTAAGACTCTAATCAAGACTTTTTCATCTTTCTTCATATTCTCATCATCTTCATATTCTCTCTCAATAGAGAGCTGTTGTTAAGATTAGATAATTTCTGTTGATTTATATTCACAATAACAGATTCTTACCTCTTTAATTTTATTGTAATAAAAAGCTTACCTAGAATTTTGTATGTCAGTTATTGTATTTTTTGGTCCTAATATGTTCATGTTGTTTCTTTTTACATCTTCTTTTTATTTTCTGATACTTCTAGTTTTCCATTGGTATACAAGTGTTGCGGCCGGGCGCGGTGGCTCACGCCTGTAATCCCAGCACTTTGGGAGGCTGAGGCAGGCAGATCATGAGGTCAAGAGATCAAGACCATCTTGGCCAACATGGTGAAACCCCGTCTCTACTAAAAATACAAAAATTAGCTGGATGTGGTGGTGCACACCTGCAGTTCCAGCTACTTGGGAGGCTGAGGCAGGAGAATTGCTTGAACCCGGGAGGCCAAGATTGCAGTGAGCCTAGATCGTGCCACTGCACTGTAGCCTGGGCAACAGAGTGAGACTCCATCTCAAGAAAAAAAAAAAGTGTTTGTGACCAGTTGTTGGAACATTTTTACAAAAGCTGCTTTAAAATCCTTGTGATGTAATTCAAACTTCTGTTTCTTCTCAGTATTGGTAGCTACTTAGTACTGATTGTGTTTTCTCATGTGGGTGCAATTTATCTGTTTTTTTTGTAATTTTGGATTGTGCCATGGACATTAAGTTTTCAGGCTCTGGGTCTTATTAAAATATTAGGCAGATTGATGCTATTTTTGCTTTAGAAGCAATTGACCTTGCTATATTCAAGATGCAAGTTCCAGTCTCCGTTTTGTGAACTGTGGTTCCAACAATCAGTTGAGTTTTCAAAGCCTTTCCAGTTTTCTTCAGATATGTCCTGGTGGTCAGTGTGGAACTTGGATGATAATCTGCTAGCTTCGTTCTCAAAATCTTTGGTTAACTAATTAGGAGCAGATCCACACACATGCAGCTTGGAGATGCACTCAGTTCATTAAAAACTTTATGTTGTCACTTCCTCTCCACAATGTCTCCGGTATTTTCTAGTTTCCTGAAGCTCCTCTTTTCTGTTTTCTGGCCAGAATGCTGCATCTTTGATTACTGTGCTCTGCTACAGTTTTTCATGGCTTCATCCATGTTTGGAGCCAGGTGACAGGTGGCAAAATGAGAAAAGACTTAAAAGAGTTTGCATCACCCTCTTGGGATCACAACTGCACCAACCGGAGAGGAAGATGCCCTGGCCTCAGAGTTTTGTTTCTCCTAGGCACCTACTGCTGCCACCACAGGAGTTCTTGGGGGCCAGATCACAAAGACTCAGAGAAAACAACAACAAAATGGAGGGATTTCTGCATTCTCTCAAAGTAATAGGAGTCCTCTTTCCTGCCCAAACTCGTAGGGCTTATCCTTGATCTCAGCAATTACTGAGAAATTGTTCCGCCCTTTACATGGAAAACGGACTTTCTTGTTCGCCTCATCCCTACCAGCGTCTTTCTCCCTACACCTAAGGTCACTTACCAACTGCCCTTTATCATTGAACTTACTGCATTTTTCTCAGTAGAATTAAGAGGAAAGAAGAGTATTTCTTGTACACGTATCTTTATTATATGCAGACAAATCACAGAGTGAGAGAGTAAGGGTTTCAAGAACAATGAGAGAGAGACAGAGGAGAGAGAAAGAACTGCTTGTGGAAATACAGAATATCCCACATTTTCAATATGGAAAATGTATGAGGGTCTGAAAGAAAATACTCAGTTTTTTTTTGTCCTGTAAAAGGCAGCACTGACAAATGTGTACCAGAGTTTGGGTACATTTGGTCCAGCTCTTCAGAATCATGCGGTGGGAAGTATAACAAAGCTATTTACACCCAATTCTAGGCAGATAAATGTGCTTCAAGGAAAGACAAGGGCCTGGCTAGATTCTAGATGTTTTTAAACTGGAGGCCAGAGACAGCTTTAGGGAGTCTATATACAGGCACAAATTTCTTTCTTTTATATTCTTCTTGCTCTTTGAAAACGGTCTTTATGCAAATACACACTACATAACCAAAGTTTCCCTTTGTTCTGGGCAGTAGTAGGTCTGATTGGAGCCATTGTATAGTGTCAGGAACATACCAGGACACAGAGAATAGTGTGCTAAGGATTCAGAGAAGGTGGACCCTGCTGTGATGCACAAAAGTGAGGGTGCAGCTGCCTAGGACACACTCATGCATGTTTGCTTGGACCGTGGAACATGGCAGGGGAAGAGCTGTCATGTTGTTGGGGTAGAGGGTGCACATGAGTATTCACCTGTAAGTCATGTTGTAGAATCACCTCGCACAGCCACTGTATCTTCCCACCAGCATCACCAGAGAACTCCTTTATCGTCACTTCAGTAATGCTTGATTTTGTCTGACTTTTTTATGTATACAAATTTAGATAAAGAGAATTGCACTCTCATCATTGCTATAATGTATACTTTTTTGATTACTAATGAGTCTGAGAATCTTTAGATATTAGCCATTAATGTTTTTTCTCTCTCTTTATTTTTTATTTTTTATTTTTTTTTTTGAGATGGAGTCTTGCTCTGTTGCCCAGGCTGGAGTGCCGTGGCATGATCTCGGCTCACTGCAACCTCTGCCTCCTGGGTTCAAGTGATTCTCCTGCCTCAGCCTCCCGAGTAACTAGAACTACAGGTGCCCCCCACCACATCTGGCTAATTTTTGTATTTTTAGTAGAGACGGAGTTTCACCATGTTGGCCAGGCTGGTCTCAAACTCCTGACCTCGTGATCTGTCCACTTCGGTCTCCCAGAGTGCTGGGATTACAGACGTGAGCCTCCACGCCCAGCCATGGTTTCTCTTCTTAATGCGTTTGTACTTTTGTTTTTTTCTTTCCTCTTTATTAGGATAACAATCTATATCTTCGATAATGTTGTAAATACCTTTTTGTTCCCACTAGCTTTTCTTACAAACTTTTATTCCTAGTGTCTTGTTACACAGAAATTTTATTTTATTGTGGTCCATTTTGTCAGCCTTTATCTTTATAATTTATATGGGGTTCTTTTCTTGTTTGGTTTTGATTTGTATAAAAGTGATTTTTTACCCTAAAGTCAAAAGTTGAAATATAACGTTTTCTTCCTATTTCAGAGGACCATGCAAGATATGATAAAGATCTATGTCACTGAAATTTGGTTCTATATTTGTACCTCAGCTTCCTAGAAATAAAAGAGAATTCTAACATTCATACTTTGAGTAAATTTTATGTGAGAGGTTTTGTTGTCAAGATCAAGTCTGAGAGCAGTCTTTATTCGGGCCTTTAATTGAGTTACCAAGTGATAAAGGGGACATTGTCTTCAACAATAACCCTACAATAAACATGTTTTGTACAATAAATATATGACAATTTCTTAAAAGCAATTTCTTTGGCAATCAAGACAATATGGCTTGTGTATGGAGTTATATGATGGTCTGGATTAATCCAGTATTAAATCTCTGGTTATTACAGAAATCAATGGATTCTGTTCTTCCAAATAATCCTTAAATATTACTTATCTCAACTGAGATTTTGGTGAAAATTCAGCTTTAGAGCTTTTATTGGCCTGCTAATGAGCTGAAGTAAGATTATTCTTTTCTACTGAATGAAGACAAACCACCTTATAAAAATTAACCCAGAAGGCTATAGAGGTGATTTGTTTTCTTTATTTCTGATGACGGTTAGATAGCTTGACTAAAACTCTTGGTTCCCTAAATGGCTTTTCTGCTTTTGGATGGTAGTAGCCTGGGGAACTTCAGGAAAGCAGATGTCTCCCAAAACTGAGAATAAAATACCTGGTTTATTCCAATACATTCCAGGAAACCCCATTTCCAAGTTCTTTAAACTAAAACATTACTGTAAACATGTTGGCCTAAAATTTTTCAGAGCTAGAAATTTTCAGAGCAATAGCTGCCAGTTGCCACCATGATGTTAGGAAATTCTCACTAATTCTTACATGACAGTTGTCTACATAGAGATGAAACACTTGACTAAATTGTCAGCAGCACAATTGTGTCCATACAGACAGAACAAATCCAATGCTGTGATGTAGTTTAAATGTGCACATACTAACTGATTAGAGAGCTAGAAAATGGAGGGTATTTTTAGCAGGCATGTGATAAATATATTTCTGACTGTTGAATATTGCTTAACTGCTTTGTTCTAGGTACTGGGGATTATATAGTAGTAAGTAATACAGACAGATGTCATGTCCTGATGGGCTTTGTATCTCAGGGATGAAATGGGATTTTGTTGGCGCCAAGACCTGATGGCTTTGCCAGTTACCCTCACTCCTGGCTCACGAGGAAAGTGTATTGAGGAGATTCTCGTGGAACCACATGAGTTTTAATACCATAAGCTTCTGCCCTGAATTGAAAGGTAATTTTTTGTTGAGGAAGGCTGAGCCACACTTATCCACAAGGCCTCCTTTGGCACAGTCCCTAGATAACCCAAAGTGTGTTCTCTGAAACAGATGGAGAAAATTAGAAGGACAAGCAGGTGAGGATAGAGAATGTCAAGAGTGGTACTGAGGATGCTGCCAGCTGAACCGCCATTTGTTTTTCATAGAACAAAACTTCAAGGGGTTTAAGTAGTTGCCTTTCCTTGGAAGTATTTATGCAAGAAAGATGTTTTATATTCTGAAAGAGGGCATATGTGAAGGGCATTTCAGAATGATGTAAGGTGTATGCACAGGTCATGTGATGGAGTGGTCTGCGGTAACAGGACATACGACAGGCCTCGAAGTTCGCCACTACAAGGCAGGAGCCCATACCACAACATTTTAAAGCACAGAAGCTGGACTGTGGAGGTGGAGTCATTCATGCCAAAAATCACAACTTGGTTTGGAAAATGAGAGGGGAGAGAAACTTCCCTAAAGAGAATTAGAAAAAGTAAAACCCATGAGGTAAAGCTGTATAGATTTAAAATAATAAATCCTTACAATTTTTACTTCCACTGGTTGATGGCAGGGTTTCTTAATCTTAGCAGTATTAACCTTTCGAGTCAGATAATTTTAAATTCTTTTTGCAGAGGAGAAGAGAGGGTATAGGCTATTCTGTGCATGATGGCATGTTTAGCAGCAACCATAGCCTGTACTCACTAAGTGCCAGTAGCAACCCCCAGTTTTGACAACTCAAGATGTCTCCAGACATTTTGTTCCCTGGAGGCAAAAGCAGCCCTGGTTGGGAAGCACTGGTTTATGAATAGAAATAAAACTAGTGTTCTCCAGCCAAACAACAACAAAATTAAATAGCATATTTTCAATTTATTGCCTTCCTTGGCTAGTACATAGCTCACTACAATTAAAGCTTCCAATTAGAAATTCTTCCTGGGTTTAAAAAAAAAAGCCATCAAGAGAAGCAATTTAGTAAGCTGGGTTTTAGGAATATGTTGTTAATTTTGTCTAAAAGGTGGCACACAAGGGGAGTGTTATGTAATCATTTTAAGTAAATGTTTCATTCAAAAAAATATTCTTTAAATGGTTTGATTCAAAAGTACTAAAATCTCTTATCGTGGAAGCATAAATATGAATAGTTAGGTTATTTAAATATAACTTACTGTGAAATCATCAAGGAACATAGCTAATCGAACCTATTATTCTAGCCTACATCATCCTGTGCATTTCACAAAATCCTAATGAAAACTACACCAAGCTCAAAGTAGAGATAAACATATCAGTGTTGACAGCCATGAAACCACACTATGTAAAGGCTGTGAGCTCTGAGGAATTCCTGTTAGCTACAGCACATGAAGGATCAATGAAGGAAGAAAATGAAGGCTCTTGGGAGATAAAATTATGCCAGGACAAAGCTGAAGAAGAGCAACACATGTCGGAAATACCCTAAATTTTGAAAGGTGCCAGGCTTGGAGGTGGGGCAGGCACCACCAGAAGAGAAAACTTCCCTTTGAGACTTTCTTTGCTTGTGACAAGAACAGCACTTGATGCCCTTAGAATAGTTCCTGGAACATCTGAATAAATATCTGTGGAATGGTTGAATCAGAGGTGGGGACTGGTGTTCAGCTGCCAGAGCTCTCAATGGTATGACCACAACTGAGGCTCCAACTGGCAGGGAGCTGCTGACTCCTGACGCTGCAGGAGCTGGTCTCTGGATTAGGAGGTCCTGTTTTACTTCCAGTTGCAAATATTACATACATTTGTGTGTCTGAGTGCATATATAACCGCCCAACAAGTTCCCCTTGCCCACTGCCTAGACAGAGCTGATTTATCAAGACAGGGGAATTGCAATAGAGAAAGAGTAATTCTTGCAGAGCCAGCTGGGAGGGAGACCGGAGTTTTATTATTGCTCAAATCAGTCTCCGCGAGAGCGTTTAGGGATCAGAGTTTTGAAGGATAATATGGTAGGGACTCAGGAAGTGGGGAGTGCTGATTGGTCAGGTTGGAGATGGAATCACAGGGGGATCAAAGTGAGGTTTTCTTGCTGCCTTCTGTTCCTGGGTGGGATCGCAGAACTGGCTGAGCCACATTACCGGCTTGGGTGGTTCTGATGGCAGCAGCGGCCCATCTGGAGAGGCTGCTGCCAAGATGCCGGCTGCAGCAGGGGAGGCAGCGCAGGGCCGCGCTTGTGGAGCTGGCAGGAGTGGGGAACAGGCAGGAGCCCTGCCCGCTCCTGAGCTGGTGGGCAGGGAGCCCTGCACTCCCGGGGGCAAGGGCAGCTGCCCAGCCATGGCTGCAGACGCGGGCATCCCTGTCCCCTTGTGGGGTGCCGGGAGAAGGGGGGCACGGGAAGCCTATATTAGACCAAATACCATGTTATATTTTGTGTATTTATTTCTTAACCCATACCAATCCAAGCTAGATTTTCTTACTGATTTAGTTACTTTGCTTGCTTATTAATCTCATTATGTAGAATATATTTTGGAAGTTGCCTTAATAGTTTTTAGAGGAAAACAGGATAAAAATAAAGAAATATGTAAAAGAGGCCAGTTTTCCTTATATGTATATGTTATGGTGTAAAAGAGCACTAAATAAAATGATCAGTAGAGTGGCTAGGGAGATAATTAAAGTTAAGTTTTTGGGCCGGGCGAGGTAGCTCACGCCTGTAATCCCAGCACTGTGGGAGGCCGAGGCTGGTGGATCACTTGAGGTCAGGAGTTCGAGACAGCCTGGCCAACATAGTGAAACCCCGTCTCTACTAAAAATACCAAAATTAGCCGGGTGTGGTGGCGGGCGCCTGTAATCCCAGCTACTCTAGAGGCTGAGGCAGGAGAATCGTTTGAACCGGGGTGGCATAGGTTGCAGTGAGCAGAGATGGCACCATTGCACTGCAGCCTGGGTGACAGAGCGAGACTCTGTCTCAAATAAAAAAATACATAAATAGATAAAGTTAGGTTTTTGAAGGAATTGAGATTATAAAAGTATAGTTCAGTAAAGGATGCAACAAATATCTTCTGAAAATGCAAAGGCAGAGGTATTTCTGGCATAATATGAGACATTTACTAAAATATCATTTCTACTTATGCTTCTGTAGTTTACTAAAGGCGATTATTGTTTCCTTGGAAATATCATTAATGAAAGTGACCCTCAGTACCATAGACTGGGAGCCACGAGGCTGGCCCTGGGCTGACTGTGGTTGGATTCACTCAGGAACCAGCTTGTCTGGTCTCTCTTAAATAACTGCTGCCAGCAACTGCCAGGAGTTGCAGGATGGGAGGAAGGGATGCTGACTGGCCCAGCTGATCCATAAACAGTCCTTTAGTAGCACTGCAGTTGCTTGTGGTGCATGCCTGTGATTCCAAGTTTGTAGTCTTTCTTTCGTGAGGGGTTTCCATCTCACCCTCAACTCTGTTCTTTGCATCGTTCAGGCTACACATTCCAGTGTGTTCACATCTCCTCCTGCCCTCTAGTCAGCTGAAGGTTTTGCATCCTGTTCTCAGCACGGACACACATCTTCTCTTTTGTCCATCACATGGTCATTTCAATAGGATGTTGGTAGAATAGGAAGAAGATGCTCATGTATTTAATCGTTTTTAATTAGAAAGTCAGAGGTTGAACTGAAAAACAACTCATATTGAAACTGCGTTGGCAATAATTATAACAGTGAGAAAATTATGGCAGTGGGGAAGATCTAATCTAGCCAACCTCCCTCTTACATTTTACCTTCATGTTGCCTTAATTATTACTGGGCTTAGGATGGGCTAGCTTTGGGAGACATGTAGTTTACAGTTTAAATGATAACAGTCCTCCAAAACTCAACCACCTTTATAAAACTAATGAGAGACCACCAGGCTAGGAGGAGAGGAGGCTGAATTCAGCAAAGGTATAGACACAAAAGACTGCCAGCCATCATTCCAGACGTCACGAGATATGCATCTTTTCCAATTACTCCTGCAGATAACATCACTACTGTAGGACCCAAGATTGGCCTTTTGAGATAGCCTTTCAGATATTTTGCATGTTTGGCACCAATTTTGGCACCTTCTGAACCCACCAACTGCTAATGTGGCCCCATGCAGAA